ACACATTCTATAATCTAAGACCAAAAAAAGGCAAAAAGAAAACTTATCATTGTGTAATATATTATTCCACCATTGTGTGTTCGTACTTTAATGACTAGACTCACTCTCTAGAGAGTCAGATGTATTGTCTCTATTCAATAATAGCAATATGGGTATATAGGATTCACCGCCAATATATATCTTCTATATTCAATTAAATGCTCCATTTTGGTCATATGATGGAACACAAAAAGCAGCCAATGAAAGGTAAGGATACATAATTTATTTAAAAAATAAATAAAACCTACATGTAGGTTTGGTTTGACACCGGTGGAGGGGGTGACCACTCAGAGCATCGCAGTAAGAGAGACATGACATGGATGTTTCAGTTGAAACCTCTTACTTTAATGGGGTTGAAAATAGATTTTGATGTTAAAGGATCCCTGTAACTTTATAATAAAATAAGGGAGGAGGGGGGGACATGACTAGCCAAACACCGAGGTGGCAGCGTGAGCCAGGAGCTCTGCAACCAGGGGCACTATACCTTGGTGATGCCCAACAAACAAATGCCAAAGAACCCTAAAGTCCTTCTTACCAAACCACCCCGGGCTGTGGGCACTAAATCTAACCAGATAAAACACTACTTAACAGACCCTCCATGACCTACACAGAAACAAAAAATGGTAGTGACAACATGTGGAGAAATAGTAGAGGATTTGTTCTCCACTCACTCTGGTGACTCTCAAGACAGGATCTCTACTCCAAGGCTGACATTGACAGATAAGCTAAAGTTGTTTTGGTGACTATAATGTCCTTTAAAGAAGAACTGCAGCGGAAAGAGCATACAGCATCTCTAATATTATTTAGAACAACCATAACATCAGCATTTACTAGGACCTCTGCTAGCCTGGAGACTACTATAGCCCCTCAGAGAGGCCATCACAACAAAAGGCCTTAAGTATCGTTGGGGGTTCCTGCTCAGCCTCTGTAATTCTCATGAAGGCAATATTGCACTGTTACTTGCCCAGACAATATCCTAGAAGTTGTAAAACAACTGAACCTGCAGATACCGGACACACCTGCCTGGTGTGGTGCCTTTTCATCTTAGTTTAAACCATTTTATCCCCAACACAATAGTTGATCCACTGTGCTGTATAAACACAAAAAAGGCCACTGCTGGCACCCCTGATTGAAACAGCATTTTCCTCTCTCAAGGACACAACCTATCAAGGGTTATGGAACCTCTCTACTACTTTGCTTGTCTCTTTCCCATGTGCCAGAAGCAATTTTAACTGTTGCTTCGGGACAATTATGGATTTTTATTTGGCCTTTTTTGAGGGATGAAGAAAGAAGAGAAGAAAGAAGACATCTAATGGTAAGTATGAAATTTGATTTTACAGGGTGTTAGTTTATTGACCCCCTCACTATTATTAGGTCAAGGGGGGTAGGAAGGGTATTATTATTTGTGGGGGTGACTACAGTCTTGGGGACCCCTAGTCACTTTATTATTTGTTGTCCCCACCTGCTGCTTATGAGTGGAGACCTGGGGGGGACGTTAGGTCCCCCCTTTATTTATTTATTTAATTAGGGTCCCCACAAGCCGCTTATGGGTGGGGACATGGGGGGACATTAGGTGCCCCCCATTATTTATTTAATGAGGGTCCCCACACGCCGCTCATGGGTGGGCACCAGGGGGACTTTAGGTCCCTCCCTTTAATTGATTAGAGTCCCCACCCATTGCAAATGGGTAGGTGCCAGGGGGGGAGACAATAGGTTCCCCCCCTTTTGTTACTTAGGGCCTCCATCCGCCACTCATGGGTGGAGCAAAAGGGGGGAGACAATAGGTCCCCCCCTTATTGATACTTAGGGACCCCAGGAGGATCCTAGGTTCCATTGTATAGCCCCCACTGGGGTTATTTATGTTAGAAGCTGACCCACCTATGCTAGGTCCCCCCTTTTTGATTCAGGGGATGGGGAACTTTTATTTTTTTTAACAATGAGCAGCCACTGGCTGCTTACTGTTTAGTAGACATGCCCCTACTCGCGGCATAGTGAATAGGGGCTTTTGGGAGATTTTTTTTAATCTAATTTTAATCAAATTTTAATGCTAATATTCAACATCAATTAATCCACTAATCCACTACCTTCCAACACTTCCATAACCCTTACAACAGACTTAGACCACACATGATTTGAATATGTTTGCATCTAACATACACCCCTCAAAGGAGCATTTTCCTGAACATACAAAACTTTAGGTAGCACCAATGGACCTCTCTATCTTCTTATAGCAAACAATGGGAGGCAGGGGAGGGCTGGCAGCCTTAGGCCTGGGGGGCAAAACCAGTCAAGTGGCCCATTGCACCACCAAATCAGTTCACCATCCATGCCCACCTTCTCCTGGTTTTATAACGGATATTGATGTTATGCTAATCAGTAGCTCTTTGCCATACCCGCTCCTTCACGGCTCCAGGCACTGCTTGTTGTGAGTGTGAGCCACTGTAAATTAGGGCAGAGGGCACTTGCACTGCGGTAAAGATGGGGCTGGACAGGAGGAGAGTGCAGTGCAATCAGTGCACTCCCCTCCTGTGGGTCACCAGTAGACTGGTGCACCTGCCCAGGATCAGAGCCGGTGCAAGGATTTTTGCCGCCCTAGACAAAATAAAATTTGCTGCCCCCACATGTCACATCACAATGCCCCACCCATATGATCTGCCATATGAACTAACGCCAGTGCTGCACACAGTGTGTGTTTACATTAAAAAGCCTGCAGGGACCAGCTATAGACACCAGAACCACTTCATTAAGCTATAGTGTCCTTTTAATGTGAGGTAAATTATAGATTAGTGTCACTAATAATATACTAGATTGCCTACTTACAAGCAGATGAGGATGATGATGGGCTGCAGTTTGGCTCCACTGGTCTGTGTAGAACAGGATCTCTGGAGGCTGTTTGCAGCTGTGGTCACAAAATTCAATGTTCTGGGAGAATTGGAAGCAGCTCCATTTTTTGGGGCCCCTTACACAGCTCAAGGTCTGGGCCCCAGGACCTGACGGTGAGTATGCCCATAAGGCCCACTCATAAATTCCACCCACCCATGAGTTCGCTCACAGGGAGTGGAGTGTGTAGGGGATGTGTTATGTGTTATTGTAGAGGATCTACTATGTGTGCTTATGGTATGTAGTGTATAGGGTTACCAGTTTGTGCAGGTGATGTAGTGTGTTTGTGTGTAGTGGAAGCAGTGTGTATTTGTGTATAAGGGATGTATTATGTGTTTCTGGTTGTGTGTAAGGGATGCATTGTGTGAATCTGTGTTTGTATGCATAAGGGTTGCAAGGTGTGTGTCTGTATGTGTGTGCATTGAGTGTAAGAGATGCATTGTGTTTCTGTGTGTATGTAAGAAAAGAAGTGTGTGTGTTTGCATATGTGTGTACGGGTATGCATTGTCTGTTTCTGTGTATGTGTGCAAAGGATGCATTGTCTTTGTGTGTAAGGGTTGCATTGTGTATGTGTGTGTAATGGATGCATTGTGTGTTTCTCTGTGTGTAAGGGAAGCATGTTGTGTTTCTGTGTATGTATAGGGATGTATTGTGTGTGTGTGCGCGCGCGCGCGTAGTGTGAAAGAGCTCCCTGTCTTGGCCCCTGTCCTATAGAGCTGCCCCTTCTGTCCCGTAGAGCTCTCCCCTGCACCTTAGTGGTCTCTCCTCTCCCCCACCCTCCTACAGCGGTCTCTTCTCACACTCACCCACCACCCCTCCCTGTGTTCTTCTCACTCCTCCCTCTATGTGTTCTCCTCACACCCCCTGTGTTCGTCTTACCCCCCTCCTCCCTGTGTTCTTCATACTTCCCCCCTTGGTCGTCTTACTCCCCCACCTGTTCTTCTTACCCCCTTCTTCTTATTGCTCCCCCCCCCATTCTTCTTACCCCCCCTTCTTCTTCTTCCCCCTTCTTCTTCTTACTCCCCCCTCTTCTTCTTACTCCCCCTTCTTCTTCTTACTCCTCCTTTTTCTTCTTACCCCTCTTCTTCTTCTTACTCCCCCACTCTTCTTCTTCTTACTCCCCACTATTCTTCTTCTTACTCCCCACTCTTTTTCTTACTCACCCCTTCTTCTTCTTCTTACCCCTCTTTTCTTATCTCCCTCCTTCTTCCCCTCCCTCCCCTCTTCTTATTCCCCTCCCCTCTTCTTACCCTCCCCCTTTTCTTATTCCCCCTCTTTTTCTTACTCCCTCCTCTTCTTACTCCATCTTTTTCTTACTAACCCCTTCTTCTTCTTACCCCCTCCCCTCTTTTTATTCCCCTCCTCCCCTCTTTTTATTCCCCCCTTCCCTCTTTTTATTCCCCCCCTTCCCTCTTCTTATTCCCCTCTTTTTATTCCCCCCTTCCCTCTTTTTATTCCCCCCCTCTTCTTATCCCCCCTTCTTATTCCCTCCCTCCCCTCTTCTTATTCCCCTCCCTCCCCTCTTCTTATTCCCCTCCCTCCCCTCTTCTTACCCCCTCTCCTCTTTGTCCCCACCCCCCCTCCCCTCTTCTTATCCCCTTCTTCAGTGCCTCTTCTTGTTCCTCCCTCCCCTCTTCTTGCCCCCCCCTCCCTCCCAGCCGTGGCGGGCTGCACTCAGCGGTGGCGGCCGGCGGGCCAGGAAGGTGCGCACTCGGTGTGCACTTCCTGTCGATCCGGTCGATGGCACAAAACGACTCGCGGGAACGGGGTTTCTGTTTTCTCTAACAACGGACTGACAGGAAGTGCACTCAGTAATACACCCACTCCTATCACTTCGGCCCGGCGCTGGCAGCCGGACGAGATGCAGCTTCGACCCGCGCTGCAGGGGAAACTGCAACGCCTGGGGCTGGCACCAGCTCAGGCGCATTTCTGGTATTTAAAGGGCCGGCCCGCCGCAGCCTGCCTTACAGGAATTTAGGGCGGCCTGGGGGGCAATTGCCTCCCTGCCCCCCGGCCCAGCCCGCCCCTGATGGGAGGAAGATTTTTGTATTAACCCATATACCTCAATGGCAGAAAATCTTCCAACTCACATACTCCCTCAGGACAAGCTCCAAATTTTTAGAGACAGGTTTTAAATTGCTGACTAGTTGGTACTACACCCCTGCTAAATTGCATAGCTGGAACCCATCCATCCCAGATGTTTGCTGGAGATCAGGACAGAGAGACACTCTAACAAATCTGGTGGCAATGTCCACTGATCAAGCAATTCTAGAAAGAGATAATTCCACAAATCCATACAATAAGTAGCCTTCCCATCTTTCTTTACCTGGTGGAGATCTTTCTTTTATACAACATCATCCCACTCTCAGGCTGCCACCTTGGTGTTTGGCTAGTCATGCCCTCCCTTTCATGATAAAATTACAGGAATCCTTAACCTCAAAATATATTTTTATCCCCATTGAAGTAAGAGGTTCAAACTGAAACATCCATTTTATGTCTTTCTTACTGAGATGCTCTGAGTGGTCACCCGCCTCCAATCGTGCCATACCAAACCTACATGTAAGATTATTTTTTTTATTTTTTAAAATAAATTATGTATGCTTACCTTTCATCGGTTGCTTTTTGTGTTCCACCAAATGACCAAACTGGAGCATTTGGGTGAATATAGAATATATACATCGGTGGTGAAACCTATATACCCATATTGCTACTATCGAATAGAGACCAATCGAATACCACTATCAAATAGATACTACTATCGAATAGAGTCTGACTCTCTAAAGAGTGAGTCTTTTCATTAAAGTACAAACACACAATGGTGGAATAATATATTGCACTATGAGAAGTTCATTTTTTGCCTTTTTGTTGGTCTTAGATTAAAGGCTGTGTATTGAAAAGGACTAACCTGGTGCTTCCCTTTTGCAAGTAGGCAAACCATTTTAGCATGGTTTGACTTTTTAGCCAGGGTCCTTCTGCTGCCACCCCCTGCCAGAGTGTTGGTAGCTCCTAAGCAGGGGATTCTGTTGCCATGGCACCCTCCCATTAAATGGTCAAATCATTTGTGAGTGGTCAACAACTTAACTGGGGTCCACACTGTCTCGTCTCCTCCTTGAAAGCACTGCATTGAGCTCATGATTTAAATTTGCAGAAATCCAGTGTTCAATAAATTTTGAAATTTCTGTGTATAGTCTATCGTACAGATCTCTGTTGCCTTCAAAATATATTAATGATCATGAAATGTCTTTTTTTGTAAGTAGCATACTTTTTACAAATAAAAGTAGAATACAATTTTACAAATTAGTAGTCTTGTATCTGTATAGATGATTTGGTGCAATTATTACTATTATTGTTATAATTTTGACATGGTTAGTTTAGACTGGGGTAAGATCATAGTTTATTTTTTTCATGTCACGAACTGTGAAAACAAAATTGTATGTTTTTTTTATGTAGTTTAAAATATATGTGATATATGTAAAAAAAAATTCCTACACATGTTCTGTAGATGGCATAATAAACTATTAATAAATAAATATAATATATATATATATATATATATATATATACACACACACACACACACACACACACACATATATATATATATATAATAAATATATATATATATATATATATATATTAATTGTTTTATATATATATATATATATTTTTAATTGTTTTGTATATATATATATATATATATATATATATATATATTTATTTATTGTTCATTCTGCCATCTACAGAACATGTGTAGAAATTTTCAAAGAAAATATCCCAACTATTTTAAACTACATAAAAAACCATACAATTGATATAGCATTGATTGCACTTTTATTCTATATAGTCACTGTACCTTTAATTGCATTATTAGATTGAATATAAAAATATTTGGATCTTCTGATCGTCCATTCACAAGTTTACATTACATTGTATATCTTTGTTTCTTTGGTGCAATATGTAGCTATGTGTTGTCTTAGCAACACATTGAGCACCGCCACGTCACTTGCCAGTAACGAAAATTCACGCATGCGCACTTTGACCCGAGGGACGCCGGAGGGGGGACATGATCCACCGCTGGTGAGTCAATTAGTTCCAATTACTTCTGATTTACGGGCTATGTAATGTCATTTTTGTTTATGTGTTTTATTATTGATCCCGAGGAAAGCCCCGGACGAGGGCTGAAATGTAAATTTTTTAATGGATAGACTACAATAAAGATTTGATATTTTAACTACATCATAGACCATGAGAGCCAGCCGTTTTTTGAATATATATATATATATATATATATATATATATATTTTAATTGTTCATTTCTGCCAGCTACATAACATATGTAGGAATTTTCAAAAAAATATCACATATATTTTAAACTACATAAAAAAATATATATATACACTGAACAAAACTATAAACGCAACCCTTTTGTTTTTGCCCCCATTTTTCATGAGCTGAACGCAAAGACCTAAGACTTTTTCTATATAATCAAAATGCCTATTTCTCTCAAATATGTCTTCAAAAAAAGAAACCTACATTTATTTTGTTGGGAAGATGACATGACAGTAAATATGAAAGTATAATGTGTATTTTTTATAAAACAATGACTACATGCTGTTAGAAAATACACTATGGAAAATTACAAATTATATGCATTTTATATGGAAACTTCTTTAAATATTTGTTTGTATTTTCTAAAAGTGCATTATCTGCTGAATAAAAATAAGAAAATGTAATTTGTGAAGTTAACTCACTGAAAAAGATACTGGTGTTTAAATTCAATTAATGCAAAAAAATAACAAAAGAATACTTTAGCTCTAATCAGCTGGCAGCTAAGGGGTTAAAAGGGACCCACTAATTTTGAGCGATCCAAAGAGAATAGCAATGCTGTCCATTAACTACTCTATGCTTACTAATATATAATATATTTGATGTTTGCTAAAATTAGGAATAATTCAGGAATGCTATGTAAATGACAGACGGTTATTCACTAACGTGAGAACTGTCAGGAACTCAAAGTGAATTAAAAGCAAATTTCCAATTTAAGACCAAAATAGTCGATCTGAAAACCAAATGAACTTGAATAAGTTCTTGGGACATTTTTTTAAATTTCACTTTGAATTCCTTGCATCTTCACTTTAGTGAATAGCCCTGAGTGCATATGTTGTATATTTACTCGAATTTGCACTTCACAATATTCAGATATCGACAAGGTTCATTTGTATCTGGTTCTAGAACACTACTTTTTTTCATCTTGATTCCTTACTTTTGATTGGCCCTGCACCTTCATGCTCCACCTCCTTTCACATGTTGAGGTTCTGACTGCAGATGTTCTCTTTGCAGTGTTCACAGCATCTGTAACAGGAAACATGAACAGCATCATACTCCTGTGTGTCTTCTCCACCTCTATATTTATAAGTAAGTAATATGAAAATATTGCTTTTGATATTTTTTGCGTATGGCACCATAATTAAGACATATTTTGTCCTAACACTACACATTACAATATTATTCTCTATTGTTTGTATCTCTCAGATCTGATTTCTGGAATCATAGTCACCCAGTTGCCACCTACAGTGACCACCAATGAAGGGATGATGGGATCATTGTCCTGCAGTAGTGATGCAGCAGCTGATTATATGTTTTGGTACATACAGAAACCTGGACAAACCATCCAGTATCTCTTCCAGGGTTATACAAAACAAGAAGACCTTGATAAAGATATGAAGGGTCGCTTCTTCTATAAAACTGACAGCACAAACAAGCAGTTTCCTCTAAATATCACTGAACTGAGAGTATCTGATTCTGGGACATATTACTGTGCCATGAGACCCACACTGGGTGAAGAACATAAAGAGTATGTACAATAACATCATTGTCACCAAGTGTACAACATCTGCAATGCAAGACTTTACACCACAAGATTACATTGTTTTATTCAGTCACTTTATAGCTGAATTTCCTGTGTATGCACCATTCCTATCTATGAAATATTACTGTTTAACCCCTTAAGGACACATGCCGGAAATATTCCGTCATGATTCCCTTTTATCTAGAAGTTGTGTCCTTAAAGGGTTAAGCAATATCCTCTCAAAGATTATAAGTGTGAACATTGGATTTAAACAGCTAATACAGGGAGTGCAGAATTATTAGGCAAGTTGTATTTTTGAGGATTAATTTTATTATTGAACAACAACCATGTTCTCAATGAACCCAAAAAACTCATTAATATCAAAGCTGAAAATTTTTGGAAGTAGTTTTTAGTTTGTTTTTAGTTTTAGCTATGTTAGGGGGATATCTGTGTGTGCAGGTGACTATTACTGTGCATAATTATTAGGCAACTTAACAAAAAACAAATATATACCCATTTCAATTATTTATTATTACCAGTGAAACCAATATAACATCTCAACATTCACAAATATACATTTCTGACATTCAAAAACAAAACAAAAACAAATCAGTGACCAATATAGCCACCTTTCTTTGCAAGGACACTCAAAAGCCTGCCATCCATGGATTCTGTCAGTGTTTTGATCTGTTCACCATCAACATTGCCTGCAGCAGCAACCACAGCCTCCCAGACACTGTTCAGAGAGGTGTACTGTTTTCCCTCCTTGTAAATATCACATTTGATGATGGACCACAGGTTCTCAATGGGGTTCAGATCAGGTGAACAAGGAGGCCATGTCATTAGATTTTCTTCTTTTATACCCTTTCTTGCCAGCCACGCTGTGGAGTACTTGGACGCGTGTGATGGAGCATTGTCCTGCATGAAAATCATGTTTTTCTTGAAGGATGCAGACTTCTTCCTGTACCACTGCTTGAAGAAGGTGTCTTCCAGGAACTGGCAGTAGGACTGGGAGTTGAGCTTGACTCCATCCTCAACCTGAAAAGGCCCCACAAGCTCATCTTTGATGATACCAGCCCAAACCAGTACTCCACCTCCACCTTGCTGGCGTCTGAGTCGGACTGGAGCTCTCTGCCCTTTACCAATCCAGCCACGGGCCCATCCATCTGGCCCATCAAGACTCACTCTCATTTCATCAGTCCATAAAACCTTAGAAAAATCAGTCTTGAGATATTTCTTGGCCCAGTCTTGACGTTTCAGCTTGTGTGTCTTGTTCAGTGGTGGTCGTCTTTCAGCCTTTCTTACCTTGGCCATGTCTCTGAGTATTGCACACCTTGTGCTTTTGGGCACTCCAGTGATGTTGCAGCTCTGAAATATGGCCAAACTGGTGGCAAGTGGCATCGTGGCAGCTGCACGCTTGACTTTTCTCAGTTCATGGGCAGTTATTTTGCGCCTTGGTTTTTCCACACGCTTCTTGCGACCCTGTTGACTATTTTGAATGAAACGCTTGATTGTTCGATGATCACGCTTCAGAAGCTTTGCAATTTTAAGAGTGCTGCATCCCTCTGCAAGATATCTCACTATTTTTGACTTTTCTGAGCCTGTCAAGTCCTTCTTTTGACCCATTTTGCCAAAGGAAAGGAAGTTGCCTAATAATTATGCACACCTGATATAGGGTGTTGATGTCATTAGACCACACCCCTTCTCATTACAGAGATGCACATCACCTAATATGCTTAATTGGTAGTAGGCTTTCGAGCCTGTACAGCTTGGAGTAAGACAACATGCATAAAGAGGATGATGTGGTCAAAATACTCATTTGCCTAATAATTCTGCACTCCCTGTATATTCAAAATAAAGCACAAATACCTAAACTTCAAATAAAAACATTTTGTATGATTTATGTAGCTATTTCCTTCTTTGACTAATACTACAGCATAAATTTCATGTTCCTTCAATGTTAATCTGTGCTTATTCCTCTTGTGTACCTCAAAAACATAACCAGCACACAACAAAACAGTTGCAATCTATACTTATACTTGTAGCCAGGGCTATTGCAAGGATTTTTGTTACACTGGTGAAGATGCATTTTGTCCCACCTGCCCCCACTAAAAACACATTTTGGGCATTCGTTTTCTGATCAACATGTTTTCTTCTGAATTTTGTCTATTCATCCATTCATCTGAAAGACGAATGAAAGAATACAAATTTCATTCTGCAATTAGTTCTTTCGTTCATTAGCTTTTGTGTAAGGTGAAAGGAGGGTGTACCACGTTTTGGGAGTTTTCATACATAAAAATATGCATAGTAAGAAGAGGAGTACTGCAAAATAGGGTGTAGTATTTCTTGTTCAAGTATATATAAGAAAGAAGGAAATGCACTTATAGTGTATAGAGCTTAAGTGTGCTCTATAATTATGTGCTTGGGTGGTGCAATTCCCGCCTGAGCATATCTGGTACATTCTCTTAATTCGGTGGTAAGTGCTCCAAGCGATATGTGGACTAAACAGATAATAAAACCAAATCTACTATAATATATGATGCGTTAGAGGTAAAATTTAAATAAAGAAATACACTCATAGTGTAAAGAGCCTCCCACCGGCTCTCAGAAAACAGTGTAAATTGGTATAATCCCCACTCAAGGATATAATTTGTTTGCCGAGGCTCTCTTGGTATGGTAAATAAAAACAGAAAGACAAACTATAGTGCTCACTGTTATAGAAAAAGGTATAACAATTATGAGACGTACTAATTTGAGACAATATTCTCTTAACAATAAAAAAATAGTAAAAGCGATATAGTAGGTATTAAACACTAATAGTAAAAGCATTAAACAAAGTAAAACCTTAAAGTGTTTCACAATAGAGGCTTTTTCAAAGTGTTACATAATATAAACATACACAGTATTTATTCATTAACGTTAATAGGATTAAAAACAATATATAAACATTAATATTTATGTAGTAGATAGTGAGCTTATATATAAGATACAGTACTAAAAACAAGGCTTCTTTGCAAAAATAAATGTAAAAAAAAAAATTTTTAGCAAATAAAAATACTAAATTATGTTGTTGTGCCGATCACGGGATCGGCATTGCTCAGAAGTGGACATGTCTTAAAATCTAAAACAACTTCCCAGAGGGTAAGGCCCAGGAAGGGAGCTGCTTCACCTTATGGGGGTCAATATGTCCCCACCCTGCTAATTAACTTATTAAGTGCCCCATCGTGGGCAACTTGCTGCTCGTTGTTTAGTGTACATTCCCCTACTCATGGCATGATGGGTAGGGGATTTAATAGTCCTTGTTTATTAATACTAAGTATTTTTTAGTTCGTATTAGTAACGTTAGTAAAAGACAGAGTTAAGCAGGCTGCTCTGGGATTTGTTTTGTAATTTGGCCTTTAAAACCATAAAGCAAATATCAAGGTAAAGAGTAAAGATGATGAGTACCATTGATACTGAAAAATAGATAAACAAAACAAATATTTTCAGTTGTATTCAGACAAAATGACAATTTAGACGGCAGCCAGGTCTAATCTTCACCTGTGTGTCTCTTAACTGCTCTTTTGCATTTCTTTTTGTGTTTCTTATGCCCTCTTTTCAATATTTTACCCCCTTTTTTATCTTATCTTTCTTTTCTATCTTACAACTCCCTTTGTGTATCTTATCCCCAATTCTCCCTTTTAGTGTCTTACATCCCCCCTTTTATGTCTCTTACAAAACCCTTCTGTGTCTCTTACTTTCCTTTCGGCCCTTTTGTGTGTCTCATACTTCCCCAGCTCCTCTTAATTTTCCCTCCAGCCCATTTGCGAGTCTCTTACTTCACTCCAGTCCCTTTGTGTGTCTCTTACTTCTCTTAGCCCTTTTGTGTGTCTTATACTTCCCCTGCTCCTTTCTGTGTCTTTCATCCACCCAACCCCTTTGTGTGTATTCCCCCCAGCACCTTTGTATGTCTCTTTCTCTCCCAAGCCCCTTTCAAATCTCTTTCTACCCCCGCCTCTTTGTGTGTCTCATTTTTCCTAATAGCACACATATTACCATGAACTACAGTTCCCATTACAGTACACTTAGAACATGGCATCATTATAGGTCAGAGATCTTCCCTCACAAGTCAAAGACTGCATGGCGACCCTAAGATGGCGACCATGCCACAAACTCTACAGCACCAGAAAGACTCAGAGATCCAGCGGTGGAGAGAGCACTTCGAGGCACAATTCAATCAGATCTGCCAAGTGTTTTGGAGGCACATACAACGTAGACCCCCCATTCCAGCTTTGCCTGCTGAGAGGGAGGAGGTGCCTGCTCCCTGTTCCAGCACTGGATAGGAGCCTCATCCGAAGGTGCGCTCACCTCGCTGACCTCGCTTGGGGGTGAAGCTCCATGACAGGAGACCTACCTCCACTTTGAGTGGTTGAACCGCGGACCATCAGGGCTATTCTGTGAGCCACCGCAGCCTGCCTTCATATTTTTGGCGTCGCCCCAGAAGACTACAGCAGAGGGGACAGTGCAAATGGCAGTCATTGACATTCCACGATGACTTACAGCAGATTTTCTGCAGCCCGCTTCAGCTGTGGAGCAATACATCTATACGTTCCAAGCACAGTCTGCCTGAAGCAAGCATCTGCACATCAGACCACAGGAGGTGCAGGATCACCACAGCAATCAACCGTGGCAATCAACCGCACACTGGAGCGCCTGTGGCCTAGGCTCGGTTGGAGAAACCTCTTTGACTTAATACCACCTTAGCCATCCATGCCACAGATAGGGATCGACTGATCTGGACTCTGGGACCATTGCTTAGGCTGAGCATATGTAAGCCCCTTACTGCGGACAGCCGCTGCTTGCTCTCTCTAACTGATACTCATCGAGCCTCCGTGGAATTTTTAGGTAACCTGTTCTACATGTACCTCCTGTTTGACTGGTGCATAGCGACTGTCTGTTTAGACTTCTAGTGTTACCTAGACATGTCTGTTCTGTTATAGATCATCTGCTGTGACCTACCTTCCTGACCAGGGGAAATTTTATTTACCTCTTGACACCTCTTGCAGCTCCTAATTATTACTACTGGAAATATCAGCTAACATAGAATGATACATTCCCTGTTTTCCCTTAACTCCCCATTGACATGCTCCCTTTCGTGCTCATGTTATTATTTACATTTTTACATTTTTTTCACTCTCCACACATGTCAAACTCCTCTTGAAATACATCAATCTGATTACTCTACTAAGGCATACCAATACACTCTGTCAGTATACAGACTTTACTGTTCAT